GTAAAAGAACTGCCGCTGACCTCGTTGCTTCTGCCATCGATACATGTAGCTTTGCTATCAAACCAAGAGTCTCATTTCACATTTGTTCTTTTGAGATTTGCACTCTGGGTTAGATCGGTCAACAGGCATCATTGACTCTCACTTTCTACTCTCTAGGTATTGATATGTAATGTGTCTCCGAACCACACATACCAGATAACAGCGTTGTGACGAATCTTCGACTCCCTGGTACTGAATCTGATGACAACTGCTACACTCTTTGTGTTTCTGGGGATACCGAGTCAATGGCTCAATGGTGTTGGTATCACCCTCAGCAGACATGCTGAAGGTAATCTACCCTACTGTAGACCCGTGAACAGCCGCATGTGTACAGTTCGACTTCGAACTTCTATTGGGGTTAATAAGCACCGTATGAAGACAAGGCGCCTTTTCATCGCCTCCGTTTATGCTCCCACTGACTTCAGTTCAGAGGGTACCAAAGATGATTTCTACTGCCATTTGTCATCTCTTCTCCGCAAGGTGAAGGATACTGACATCGTGGTTGTTGGTGACATGAATGCCAAAGTGAGTCGTCTTGTAGACTATGAACAAGACCTGGGAGGGCGCTTCGGAGTCGATGCACGCCGAACAGACAACAGTGATGGATTGCTGGAACTGTGCACTGACCGCAATCTTTATATTAGCAACACTGTTTCCCAGCAATAACCTTCACACCACGTCATCTGGCGCGCACCGAATCACTCAACGACCTGAACCCGAATTGACCTTATTGCCATCAACCACATGTGGCACACATCAGTCCAAGACTGCCGGTCAATTCGGAGCACACGCCTGGATTCCGACCATGCTCTAGTGCGCGCACGCTTGGCGCTGACGCTTTCCACTTCAAAGAAGCGTCTATCTTCTAACCTTTTTAACTGTAATTTGAACTCGCCGTGTGCGGTTCAGCAATATCATAACAAACTGCCCCAACAATTGTCAGTGATGAACAAGGATGGTGAGCCGAACGCTGACTGGGATCGTCTCAAGTGTGCCATGAAGAATGCCTTTAACGCATGCTGTGCACTCAACCTAAGACGTCGTAACTGTGAATGGGTCTCTGAAGCATCGATCTGTTTGATTAAAGCACGGAAAAAGGTTTCGATGAACGGTGAATTTCATCGTATCCGTAACTCCCTGAAACGAGGTCTGACAAGGAATCTTCGAGTTGCCCGGGAAAGTTGGAGAAAGCCACCGAAATTAGAAACAGCCAGGTGCTATTCCAGCTCATCCGGAACACGGGTAGGAGAAAGCCATCCGTTAGCGTGACAATACCTGAGAAAGATGGACTGTTGGTGCATTCTCAACGTCGTCAAGTAGCCCGTTGGCCGGAACATTTTGAGGAGCAGTTAAGCAGGCAAGCTGCCAAATTGTCGCTTGTCAAATCACCTCAGCCGAGGTGGGAAGTAGATGTCATAAATCCCACTTTGGAAGAGATTCAATATGAGCTCACCGTGTTAAAACGAAACAAGGCTCCTGGACCCGACGACGTTCCCCCATCTTAATTGAATAATGGCGGTGACTCTGTTGACTGGACTTGCTTCTGTTTTCAACACGATTTGGGACACTGGAGAAGTGCCTTCAGGTTGGCGACTATCAACTGTCGTATCCATCTTCAAGACGGGTCAGCGTACTTTGTGAGAAAATCATCGAGACATTAGCCTTATTTCCAATGCCTCAAAAATCCTCACGAGTATCATTTTTCGACGACTTACTGGTCCCCGTAGGGACCAAATCACTGAAAGCCAGGCTGGCTTCCGTCCTGATCGTGGATGCATCGACTACATACATACTCTTCGCCAAGTTTTGGAGCAGAGACACACCTACAGACAACCGATGACGCCGGTTTCACTTGACTTGAAAACCGCCTTCGACCCTGTTGATGGTGTCAGCTTGTCGCATTGCCTATCCATGAAAGGCGCGACAGCTAAACACCTTTCCATTCTGAAGTCCGTCTACCGTGATGCCCGAGGCTATGAAAGGGTCTACGGGAAACTATCTTTGTTCCCCACGACAAGTGGGGTTTATCAGGGTTGTCCTATAGTTCCTTTCCTCTTAAACTTTGTTATCGAAATAATCATTCCTTCAGACTAAACAGAATGGAAGTTCTGCCACGCGACTGACTGACAAATCTGGAGTATGCGGACGACACAGCTCTACTTGGGCTGACGCAACAATTATGCAAACACCACTGCATAGCGCTGTATGGTTCGGCATGTACTTTGCACATTCAAAGTGCAAGGTGTTGTTGCAGGACTGGGTCGACACACCTCTGGTTCTGGCTATCAGCAAACATCCAAGGGAAGTGGTGGATCGGTTCACTTACCTTGGTAGCTGTGTCACCTCTGGTGGTCACATTGCTGAGGAAGTTACTTCGCGTATCAGCAAGGCCCGTGTGGATTTCCAGAGGCTCAATCATCTACGGAGACGGCAGGATATCAGCTCGTCAGTGAAAGACCAGTGTTACTGCATAAGTCGGAGACCTGGTTTTGTTTGACCGCCGAGTGAGCAATGCTGAGGTCCGTCAGTTGGATTTTGGCAAGAAGCTTTCTGATGCCTCTCTCGAGTGTTTGATAAATCTTAGTCGCTTGCGTTAGCTAGGCCATCTCTTCCGCATGCACGTTGACTGGCTTCCTCGGTGTGCATTATACGCCGTGGCTGCACCAAGTTGGGCGAAACCTCGAGGTGGCCAGTCCATGAGATGGCATAAAAGCTTGAATACATTAGCTGAAAGATTTGGTCAGGCTGGTGCGTGTCGTCTTCGTGGATGGGGGCCTCGGGATGGCCCACATCAAGGGTTGGACAGCCAGCCAGACATGGGGCAGCCGCGAAGTCAGTGGCACTCCTTCATTCGGTTTCTTTCATCTGGTTGTTAATCTTCGTTCCAGTCTGATTAGTCTAACTCGCTTCCTACTTGCCTCCATTTTCGTTACGTTCTATTTGCATTCAATCCTAGCTACTTACCGCTGTTAGTCATTGTTATTCTTACGGTGTGAGTCGTAGCAACTGGATCCACTGCACTTCGTTGGTCGGACCATAGTTGAACAACAAAAACTGTAACTTCCGTAACAACAGTTATATGAACATTATCGTTGATGACAGTGTAGATTATTTTTAAAAATTTTCGAGACGATACACATCTGTAATGGACGTACCAATGGGGAATAACAAAGGAGAAGAAGAATGACTTGGTGCGAAACGTAAATAACCGAAGCAAAGATCCAAGGCACCTACATTAGACCAACAACATAAGATTAAAAACAGCTATCCAGTATTCGAGGATAAGGTGATATGGTGAGAAATACTTCCTGGGGCGTTAGCTATTTCGTAACAGGATCAACTTTACTCCACAGACTGCTCATCTCGATCACGCCTTTAACAGGCAATAGGGCTGGGAGACGAGAGCAAATGCGCCACTGGTGCCGTCGTGAACCACATCCAGTAAGGTTCCGAACTAAGCACAGTCTATGTAGCGTCGACTAAAGCGTAGAAGCGAGGATCACAACAGTGTTCAGTTTGATCGCCAGTGACTACTTCTCAACCCTTGCACTCCTTAGTCTTGGAACATCGTAGATCCGGCAAAAACAAGAGCATACATGGCAAGCGGCGAGCGAGAATAAACAGTAAGCGCCCAAATCACAGCGATCAATTGTTAGATCTGTCATTTTGCCAATGGGATTCCGACTGAAACTAACACGTTCCTCACAAGCTAGTTACCAGAGAAAACCAGAAATCACAAACCAGACGCAAAGAGCGTATTGAAGCAACTACTGAAACAGTACAAGTAGTCCTAAAGTCAACGCAATTTTATGGGACAGCCGGATCAGCTACCAGAAATAGTAGTGTAGTACCGCTCTGACTAATAATAAGGTGCGTGGGTAAGTCGCGTGATGGACTTCATTTAGATACTTTGATGTCTATGCAGAACATTATTTATTCAAGTCGTTTTCCCATTGAAAAACGGGTCGTTTTAGAAGGTTCCACCACTAGCGTGACCCGGAAGATGATTAATATGTGCAGTATGTGCGATTGTACATAACCTGATCTCGTCTTTTGAATCGAGCACAGTGAAGTATAAGCTCGGGGGTGACAAGAGGAGGTAAACGGGAGCGAGCGTCATCATAATAAGCCATTGAGAAGATAAGTACTAAGACGGATGAAGCGTCAGCAATATGCCAGGTAAATCATACCAACGCTTCGCAGCCATGCGAAGACCAACAACCGCGCGTGGACTAAGTATATCGCGAGGTTGCTCGCAACTACACGGATTCGAACCAGCGAACTCCCGACTACAACGCAGGCGTGCAATCCTTTCGGTCAACGGCAGATAAGTGAAGCCATAGCAGATGATGTTTAATCGAGCTAGAACGAGAAGATTCATACATGAGGCATCTTTCGGATCGCTAAACTTATTCCAAAGCACATTCATTCCTTCTTCTCGAGTCTGACTATTCCAGTAAGCGTAGACATCATGCATCGACCTCCCCTGAACTGTTATTACTGTATTAAGCGACCCGAGTCAAGGCAATTAGATGCACGGCACCTAATCGCACAATTCATGGTTGACGAACTCAACTGAATAGACCCTTAGATGTCCTACCTTCATGTTCTGACGGGGAAAGTTGCCGATTTCTCGCAAGTTCTAGATGGGTGTTAGTGGAAAGTTTTGCAGTGAGCGTAAATGACACGGTAGGGAAACAGACCGGTTACATCACGAGTGAAGGTCATTGAAACGCGAGCCATCCAAGCCCACAAGAGAGAGCCTTTTCGAGGGAAAAAGGTAAAGTGGATGCGGACAAAAGTAAGCGCTTCTAGATTGTGCTAACACTAACAATATTAGTTAGCACCGTTTAAACACGGAGTAGGAATCTGATTGTGCGAACACAGTGATGATTTGTCCTGATGAAAAATCGCGAGTTTCATTGTTTAGATCGATAAAACTGAATAAAGCAAAAACTTACGAGTCCTCCGGTTGGTATGGGCGACCAGCAGCTTCCGCTTCGGGTGCGACGACTGGCCTTTGTCCGTGACCGTAGTCTTGAGACGATTACCTCGTTCAACTCGTTTTGAAACGACCGGTGTGGTGACGCTGCTTGGACTCGGTGATGTCTGATTCTCGAAGGAATCTTCAGCTATACAAGAGGGAGAAATCCTTAAGTGCGTTGACGAAGATCATGGGGAAGTATCACATATACATACCTGTATGGGGGTGCAATTAAAGTGTTTGCAATCTGGTGTATATATTTATGTAGTCGGTACGCCAAGGGAGAGCCTCCGAATGCATTCGACTATCGCAGCAGTGCAGTTGCTAATATCTAAGGCAAAATCCAGTTACCAGATGGCAACACATCCGAACACATGGGTTCTGTGGTGCGGTGAATGCGTCGGGAAGGAGAACCGGATCCCGATCAGTATGACTGCACTAATAATATTAACAGTGAAAACAATACAACAATGTGGTCATAGAGGTAACGAAAAGCAGCATATTCGCGGAATAGATAAAGTTCAAGGCCAAGGTGATAGCCAAAGGTAATGTGTGTATATTAACAAAAGATGCTATAAGGAGAGGCAGAATAAAAGTGTTAGTTTTCCGTAACCGAGACAGCTAAATTAGAAGTGCTCTTCTGTGAATATAGTATCGCCAGGATCTCACGATTAAACGTACGTTGAATACAAGGACCAGCATAGAACAGTAGTAACAGTCTAACGCGAAAGAACGTAAAGAAGTTTGCACCAACAACGCCTATGCAGTCGGGGGGTATGCATCTAAGGAACATACGGTGATTCAAATGATTTAAAAGCTGCTATTCCGAACTCCCTATAGAATGGCGAATGACTGGGAATCGGAGGATGGGAACTTTTTGCGCATCTCACATCATATTGACGGGGTGAATTGTCAACGTTAATGTAGTCGAGACAAGACGAGGGGTGTTCAAAGAGAAACCGAACTTTCGCCATAAGATATTTATTGATCACTGCACAACATATTAAGCACTTTCCGCCGCAAAGTATTCCCCTCTACTGGAAATACATCGTTCTCAACGGTACTTCCATTTTTGGCAAGCCTCCTGGAATGCACTTTCTGGGATGGCGCACAGGTCTTTTGTCACATTGTGCTGAATCGCATCTATGGTTTGTATACGACGTCCTCTCAACGTGGTTTGGGAAACAGCAGAAAGTCTGCAGGAGCTAGGTCCGGAGAATACGCTGGATGGGACACAACGGGAGTGAGGTTTTGCTAGATAGCTGCGGACAAGGAACGGTGCGTGAGTAGTCGCATTGTCATGATGCAATATGCAAGTCTGGTTTTCAAACAGTTCAAGTCTCTTCCTGCGCCCGTATCCATCAGATGCGCTAGAATTTGATGGTATGATCCTACGCTGATGCCCACTTCTTCAGCAACTTAGAGAACAGTTAAACGACGCTTTCAACGGAGCACAGCACGAACTCTCTCGGCATGATCATCGCTTGTGGATGTGGAAGATCGTCCAGGCTTGGGATGGTCACCGACCGACACTTTACCGTGTTCAAAACACTTAAACCACTCGTCGCCCTGCGTGCAATTCATACAGCCCTCCCCGTAGGCTTGGCTAAGCAACGGAAATGTCTGTAAACCTTTTGCCAAGCTTGTTGCAAAAGGGCACACACACGCGCTGTCCTTCAAGCTTTTTCATGGTCCCGTTGGCACTAATTCGACGAACAGCTTGTGCATGCGCTCACTTCGCCGGCTGTGGCGGCTTAATCAACGGTCAGAGCGAAATGCGGCAAATGGCAATTGGTTGTCTAAGCAAGCCTCCACAAGCACTCAGCAGCCGCAGCACGCTCCCTTTGTCGGTTGGCGTGCTATTTCAAAAGTGCGGCTTTTTTGTACACCCATCGTATACATCAAATTCCACATTGAAGAACTTTGAGTTGATGCTCCTTAAAGTACGCCTCGTAGTTGAGACGAGTGCATGGGTCGCAAAAAATGGGTGGACTGATTCGGATTGTGATCTAGTCCGAATAACTAACCAAAGGAGACGGAACTGTGAACTATCCTCTAGCATGAGCAAGACGCGTAAGCCTATTGATCTAAGCCCAGCAAGTGACTTACGATGTTAATGACACGTCGAATCAGACAACATGAGAAAATTAGTCGGGAAAAAAAAGAAAAGTGGTGAGATTGCGACGGTCAATGAGGTTTAGTTGGTAGATAGTTAAAATGAGCAAGTCTTGGCTACTGGAACACCAACAACATACACATATAGGAAACAAAACAGAATTTCCATCCATCAGTTGAGCCCAAACTGGTATCGGCTGTGACCGTTCCCACCCCACGTGCAACAAAACTTGTGCGTGGTTTGAGAAGTTGAAAAAAGTGTTATGAGTACTGTTTAAGTGGCAAATGTCAGCCAACGTGAAAATAGATGTCAAGTGACTTAGTTGTGGAGTAACGCGCAGTGAAAGCCGTAAGACGGATGCCTAGCGGATATCCCGTCTTTACATAATGTACAGTTACATCACACTGTCTCCGAGCAAACGACCCAGTATCAGGTCGGTTGTTATAACTATAGTATCGTAGATAGTCAACTAAAACCGTTTGGTCAATTGTGGTTATAAGGCGGCAGAGAATTAGGGAAAGATCTCAGAAAAGATAATGAGGCATATACGTGACACTAACCAGGAACGTCCGTTAATTTCGGAGAGTCAACTTCTGTGTGTGAAGCCAAATCTAGATCAACAAGCGGCTGGTGAGAAGAGAGAATGTGCTCGTAAGCGTGTGTCTGCAATGAAGGACAGAAAGCATGGACGGCGACTAGCATAAACTAAAATTAAGTTCTAGAGCTGGAGTGACGCGGTTGATAGGAAGGTAAAAAAAGTAGTGAGGATTATGTGTATGCGAATCAATAACACGAAACAAATTACTAACGCTGCTATGAAGACGAAAAGTGAAGTAAATGTAGCCTCTGGAAATAACAATGGGATCAAAACTGCTATGGGATGTAACCTACTAAGCGGAGTTCATGCGCACTGTCTAGGTTATAGGAAGGTGACAAAGTGGAGACACGCAAACAAGCCTTGTGTGCTCTGAAAGTGTCCCACAAGTAAAGCGGTTCTCTAGCAGCTCTACTGTATATTTATAACTCCCATTCCATGATTTTATATTAGCAGCGGTCTGTAAGATAGATATAATGCCAGCGAAAATCATGAAATGGAAGTAATAAACACAGAGCCCACAAAGATAAAGAAAAGAATAACATTTACAGAAAAGGGTTTTGTTTTTGAATCTTGTTTGTCTTTTTTTCACACGCCGTTTCATACTTTTTTTGTCTGTTTAATGTTTGCGATGTAAATCATGATAATCAAGGCAAATATTCGTACACATTTTCCGTTGGGCCCGGTTCTGCGCCATCTCCGAAAGAGTTTCCAGCCAGCGGTGTTCTTCATCTTTGATCCCCAAGCTCGAAAGGCGCACGGGACCTACGACAGCTCGACTGGGTCATGGGTATGCTTATCCGCTGTAACTAACATGGCATGGATGCAGGTTTAGATTTTAGCCACGTTAGTGGGTAGAAATCATACAAGATTTGACCAACTCACGAAGCCAGTGAGGCTTTTGCACAAATCAGAGGTTAATTGAAAGTCCGCCACGGCAGCTTCCAAATCAGATAGTTCTCCACATGTCCGGAAAAGAAGTCGATTGCAGTTTCGACCTGTTGGATCTCGTAAGTAGTGCACATCCATCGGCTTCATCAAAATCTGAAGCAATGGTCACTAGTGTCTTGAACCGCTAGTCAGCAGCTTATACCACTGAGCCATGGGAGACAGTGGTGGACCGACATTATTTATAAGCTAGCCGCGATATAGCGCGTCTTACATTCCACTGTCATGCAAGTGACAGGGGTGGTCCAGAAAGACAAGACTTCCACTGACAGTAGCTATGTACGACAGCACTTAGAAACTGTTAGGGCAAACATTTTGAGGTCCAGAGGTTGTTGATTTGTGCTTTAAGGTTCTAAAGGGAAAGAACGAATACTGGACGTAATTAAAAGCTAGTCTCTATAGTATAACCAACCATTCCTCGCGGTTTCGCAGAACAAATGCCATTCGTCGGATGCAGCGCAGTCTCCATGATATAGGAGTTAACCGCAGTTCTCCGTGCTCCGGAGGTTCTTGTGCTATACCGATACCACCTCAAACCAACCGCAAGCCAGCGCTTCAATCCGATGCGATTGCGGCTACTTGCTCGCACCATAGGTTAGTGATTCCTCCAACTAGCTCCCAAGCCAGATAGTTCGACCGTCAACCTAGTAAAACACCAAACGACCGTTTCGCCCTACTGGGGCTCGACAGGAGTGCGCTTTCTCCAGCTCCAATAAGAGCCGAACCCATGACCACTTGCGCTACTAGCCAACAGCTTATGCCACAGCCATAGGAGAGGGCAGCATAAAGTCATACCTTGCGAGTTAACTGAGGTATAGCATGAACTATCTTCTACTGCCATGCAGGTTACTACCATTGCGGGGGACAGTGACTGGCCTCCAGAGGTCACGACTTTCACTCCACAGCAGCTATGTACGCATAGCATTTGAAGGCCGAGGGCAAATGTTTGATTACTGATGGAATTTTATTGACCCGTCCCAGCAACTAACAAACCGGAAAGATTAACCATATATCCGGAAAGGCACCAGATAACCGTCTCGCCTTATTTAAAATTAAGATAAACCTTCTGCACCAGATGGGTACATGTTCAGCAATTCGCAATAGCAACTGCGGATGGGCTGAAACAACCAGAAAAAATGGAGAATCGTATGAGTGGAAAAAAGAACGCGGTGCACATGGGTAACTTGAATAAATGGCCCCGCATAGGCAGGCAGAAACTGTATTTCCAGAGTAAACCATTAGGATGTGCACTATGGGTCAGGGTAACATCGGAGGCCAGCTTTCCATCCATGACAGTGCTTCTTCCTTCACCGACACGTTCAGTGGTGCGTATCCTCTGGCTCTAGCAAGAACCGAATCCATAACTATCAGCAGATTTCCCTATCAGCTAGCCATGAGGGGTGGTGACAGACCGCCATAGTTGAATGAAAGAACGCCCTCTAACATAGTGTGGATCTGAACTCTCTGAACTTCAGGCGACTATCATAACTCGACCAACATGGCCTAATGTTTTTGTGGTTGCAAGTTACAACGTCTCAGGTTGGAGTCAGCGCTACCATAAATACCTAACGAGTACAAAACAGTACGAAACCAGTAGCTGAATGTAGTGTTGCGAGCAGGCAGCACTTGATATTTACACATTTCTAACTATTTATGCATTGAATTTTGTGTCCAGAGGGAAATTAGACAGAATTGAACACATGCGGAGTCACGATTTAATCTGGATCATTCAGAGCTGGCCAGCGGCGCGCATCTAGCCAGCCAAGTAAAGGACAAACTCGCTATGATACAATGGTTACTTTAAATGGAACCAATGTGAGCGGATTATTCTTGTCACCATATTGATTTTCTTTAGCATGGAGACGAGAATTAAGGCGATTTGATTATTTGAAGTCCAGTGAGCGGATGCTAGTTGCTTAACTTACTATGCAGCGTTTACCAATGTCTTTTATGTTTTCTTTGTCTTTACTACCCACACTCATTTTAAACAGAAGGAAATTGTCAATTAGCTCACATAGAATGAACGTACAGTGTTCAAGTTTTCTTACAGACAAAGAACCGTATTTCACTTTGGCTTCCCCAACGTTTGTAATAATCATCAGGTTGGTAACCAAATAGCGATAATTTCGAATCTCCACTTGCTTGAAACCTATGCGTGCAGTGCCACTGAAACATGTTTACAAAATAGTAGCGCAGTAGTGAACCTACAACTAATTGGTTCAGAATCTGTCAACAAGAATTATATGTGAGACATAAAATACCCATTATAATTCCAAATAAGTATATCAGAAGGCGAAGGTTGTGGGATGGTGTTGTCACTTCACGCATGACCTTCGATGTGCAACTAGAAAAGGATCCAAAGCAAGGTTAGATGAAATCAATTGGTGGTCAGTTGTTTTTTGATTGGTGCATTACACAATACCACGGCTGGTTTACTGTGAGCCAGCTTTTATGAAACGTATCGGGCGCTCACGGTCGGTAGTAATGGTCTCCAGAAGCATGAGTCCTTTGACCGCGCGTACCGTTTCCAGAGAGTACAAATAGACGAGTTTCACACCTATTATTCAAAAAGTGCTCACAATGTCATCGTTGTTAACCAACCGATGTAAACCGAAGCCCTGTCATTCGGTCTGTGTACATAATACAGAGATTCCGTTGAGTCAAACATCGAGAATCTATATAGCCAAGTTGCTTCATTGACTTCAACACCACCCGATAAAGACGCATAGTTCAATAACGAACCAGTGGGTACTTCACATAATTTTTTCAATGCTGCAATACAGCAGCGGACGTGTCTCACTGCGATCATTACAAAGCACTTTGTTAATTGTTGTTTTAAAGCCCGACAAGGGTTCCGGAGTGGCGATGTTCAACAGGCTAGATTATCTACTCAAGATAGAAAGAATGATATATGACACAAAATTCAAGTCGGACACAACTTTCGTGACAGTCGGTTGATGGAGAAGCAATTGTGCTGTGAAGTACAGATTACTGGTCAGAAGCAGCGAGTAGAGCTTGCTCTGTGTAGCTGCATGTAATGTCACTCAGGGACAAAGACCCGTTATGTTGTATTCCGCTCAATATATTTTGCGCCAGCAAAGTGTTTGTCAAGGAACTTCTTAACTTCCGACACTGAGTTTGCCTCTACTACGTGTTGCGGGCAGGTTGTTCCATACATTCACCACTCTGCGTTCGAAACAGAGTTGGTGAGTGACCCGTTTCAAATCCGGTACGACAAGCTTGTACCGATGTCCTCGTGTGCTGCTTGGTGTGCGCAGATGAAGCAGTGGTCTCAACATAGGGTAAACACCCAGATGTAATATCCGATGAGTCATGATGAGGTCTACCCTCATCCGACGATAAGCTAGGGTGTACAGCCCTAGTTTCTTACACCGGTCTTCGTACGACACAGAGGATGGATAAAAAACACTAAAAGCAGCGGGAAAATGCATGGTTTACCAGACGTAAACTTAGGTCACAAGCACAGGAGTCCAATTAACGTGCAGTCGCTTTCCCTAACAATTTACCGAACGAGACTGTTACCATTTCTATTTTCCAATTACGTAAGCTTGATACCAGTCCCAGAGGAGGCAACCCTGCTGAAATACGCAGATGACATTGCACTGGGCGTCAATCAATCGACGACAGCCTCTTAGTCAGATTCCAAGATATTCTTAACGATCTCACGCTTTGGTCAAAGGCCCGCGAGCTGCCGCCCAACGTGTCAAAATACAAAGCTGTCATTGTTTTCATTGCACAGGGGAGATTGATATCAAGAAGTTTTCCAGTGATGCCCGGAACTCAAGATCGATGGTGAGAGGTTGCACGCTTCCATATCGGTAAAGTATTCAGGTGTCATGCCAAGCTTTCATTTATCTTGCTCACACTATATATAAAAGAAAGGTTCACAAAGGTCCAGATGTTATCGTTCTATGACGTACGCCTGAGAACTTCCTCTGTCCCCAGGATTTGAAAGTTCACCTTGTCATTTCTTGTGTCTTTCCACACTGGACATATTACTCACTAGTAATTTTTTCTGATCTGTTAAGCAAGGACTTCAGATTGACCTTTGCTGACCACATGGAGAGGCGGTCAGTAGTAGTAGTAGTAATCTCAACAG